ATATATATATATATATATATATATATAGAGAGAGAGAGAGAGATATATATATATATATATATATATATATATATATATATATATATATATATATATATAATGTTGTGAAATATTCACTCGGTAATATGATAAGGATGAAATGTGCTCGAGTGAGATATATCATAATTCCCACACAGCGCGCAAGCAGAAAACATTGGCTACCGCGGCTGGGCTTCGAACCCGCGACCTTCGAGTTACTAGATCGACGCTCTACTAACTGAGTTACACGGTCAGACGGATTTTAAGACTGGAAATGATGAACTATATACTGAATGTCATAAAGGTTTCCGACTTTGGATTTTAAGACTGGAAATTATAAGGAATGTTTTTTATTTTAAGACTCGAATTTATGAACTATATACTGAAAGGTAAAATGTTCTGCTTGCGCGCGGTCTGGAAATTATGATATATCTCACTCGAGAACATTTCAATAATTCTATTCTTATCATATTACCGAGTGAACATTTCACAACATAACATATACATAACACTTACAGAACTAGTATTGTTCGATGCTGAATTAATATAAACGAGTATGTTTAGGACATTCAGTATATATAGTTCATAATTTTCAGTCTTAAATTCGTCTGACCGTGTAGCTCAGTTGGTAGAGCGTCGATCTAGTAATTTGAAGGTCGCGGGTTCAAAACCAAGCCGCGGCGGCCATAATTAATATAGGAGAGGGTTTGGAGCTGAGGCGTGGCCAAATTATGTTGTTTTTCTCAATCACGTGACAATACGGGTGCTTCAAAATCTATTGAGTAATACGAGATGTGTCACAGATAAAGCTTTAGTACCACAGGGGGCAGAAAAGTACGATTGTGTTTTATAAGTCTTATAAATACCTTGTCATCAACCAATATCGCATATCGCAAGGATCAATATTAGCTGATTTTTATTTTTTCGATAATATCATGCTTTTTACTTCATGTAATTCAAATATCATTGCATCGCAACGACAATTTCCGAACATCTTACGAAAGGATGCCGAGGGTGTAGCCCGTAAATAAATAAGAAAGGGATGAAACGCCGGAAATCTTTCGCTCGATGTGCACCGCAACAACTGGTGACGGAACTTAACTCGATATCGTGACCGGAAGTAGAACGGAAGTTAAAGGAAATTGACCTTTCACCTTCCATGACCTTTTAATCTAATTAACGGTTAATAATTTAAATAACAATTAACAAATTTAAAAAAATACTGCGAAATTCAAAATCAAACATGGTACGTTTTCTTACTAAAAGAAATGCGAATCACCCGGAAGAATTCGTTTCCAAACAAGCTAAGTTTTCTTGCAAAGCAACACACGCTATTGTATCTAGATGATGGTAAGCTTTTCACTAATTTTAAAACAGTTCTTCTTGAATCGATCAACCGTGAATATATCCACGACTTTAAACTTTATCTATGACTGTACTCCAAACGGCAGTCTTTACTAAACAGACTTTACACAAACCGGTCAGGATTTAAATTCGTGCTCGGCGTGTGTGCAGACTTACGATATATCAATGGACTATTTAAATTCAAAAATAAAGTATACTTCTGGGATAATTCTTGATGTCATGCCGAATCCAATAATTATTTTATTGAAGACGGTGAATCGAAGACGGAAGGGGATAAAGAAATTATTTTTATCTGTAATTCATGAAAGGGTAAAGGAGGATCAGATTCGATCATATCTAGAACAGTAAAAGGTAACGCCTACTTATATCTCCTTATTTGTAAGTCGACGTAAAGGAACTTGTTCTGCTAAAGTTTATATCCCATCGCCTATATGCCCATTTGTTCCAACTGATGGTTTTTGGCCAAAGCATGTCAAGTGTAATTCATGGCAAAGTAAAAGTCCCACTGAGCGAAAATCCAACATTACCGGAGATGGGAAATTTCCAATACGCGTGAGTTACAAACACGCGAAATTTTTCAACAGCTCTGCACAGCAAATACCAAGATCCCCTCGGGAATTTGTTCCACGTACGTATAATGGCTAATATTATACCTCAAATTCAAATTGCCAATCAGGAAGCTTAGTTTGTGCCTCGTGAGCATGAAATTAATCGCGATATCACGCCTTACGTCATCAATTAGCGAGCCTGCGTTCCTTTTGACAATGTTCCACCCCATGTTCCCCGAGGAACATGGCGTGGAACATTATTCACGTAGACCGCGCGAGACAACACGCATGACAAAAACATGGCCGACAAAATATAAATAGTATTAATAGATGAGTAATGAATAATCAAATTTTAAACGTAAAAACTGGGGCTTTTTCAAAATTTTGAAGAAAATTTTGAAAAATGTTGTCATTAATATTCCAAACGATATGTGATTTGAAAGAAAAGCGACGAATACTTGCGTTAATCCGAAAATAAAACATCGTATTCACGAAGGTATGTGTCAAGTTTTTAATTATCAACTTGGAGGCTTTTATTTTTCCGTATAATATATTTTATAGACCCTCCGCTCGGGGGATTCGGCGAAATATTACCCTCAGTGATGATATTTATATGTAATATTTCGCCGAATCCCCCGAGCGGAGGGTCTAATGATAAGAGTATACCAGTACGAATAACTATACTCGAAAGAGTAAACTCACAAGATTGATATGTTATGGTCGACATGAACGACACAGAAACAGTTTGATCACCATTCGGCGTGAAAAAGTTACTACCATTAACACAAACAAATATTCCTCCCCTAATGGGAAAAGTTATCCAACATCGAAGAGCAGTAAGAATTTCGTCCCGAGTCTGATGTTAACAAACATAATGTCATTAGCCGCTAAGATAGACGAAGTACGCTCGTTTGTCCTGGATCTCAACCTAGACTTGGCGAGTATTACTGAAACGTGGCAAAGGGACTCCATCACGGACAACGTCATTCATGCATATTCCAGGCTACAAAGTAATTCGAAAAGATCGCATTCGATCCTTTGTATTTATCCGAGAAGAGATAAACTGTAATCGGCTTAATTCCTTTGAATCAAGTAACCAAGAGGTACTTTGGCTCAAAATTCGCCCAAAAAGACTCCCACGTGGAGTACCTTGTATTGTTCTTGGAACGATATATCACCCTCCTAGCAGTAATGATGAAACAATGGTCGAGTACTTAATTGGTTCCCTCTCAGAAATCGAGAGTGAAATTCCCAATTGTGCTTTTCTTTTAGCAGGAGATTTTAACCACGTCGATATCTCATCTATTAAACGGCAGTTCAAACTAAAACAAGTTGTCGACTTTCCAACTCGGGCCCAAAATACTTTAGATTTAATACTAATTAACCTCTCCACCTTTTATGAAAAACCAGAGAAGTTCCCCCCGTTTGGCCTTTCAGACCACTGTACCATAACTTTCCAACCTCAGTTGAAAGTCAAGAGAAAACCCTTTAAAATTAAATGCAGGGATCTGAGACCATCTAATAAACAGCAACTTGGTCGTTATCTTTCCTCAATCGATTGGTCAGTGCTCCACTCTGTTTTTTCAGTAGAAGACAAAGCTAAGTTACTTGAAGATTTTATAACTGGTTAGATAATATTACGTCAGAAAGAGTCATAAAGATACATAGTAACGACGCACCGTTGATGACCACGGATTTGAAATCACAGATTAAGAAGCGTCAGATGGCCTTAGCAGGGGGAAATGTAACAATATTCAAGTACAATCGAAATCTGGTTAATCGGAATCGTAAGCTAGGAACGTAGGAGCAAATATTATTTGTCCAAAGTACACAATTTAGAAAATTCCAGACCAAAGAATTGGTGGAGGAAAGTCAAACGAATTAGTGGGCATTCACAGGTAAACAATCACAGTGACCTAATCTCGCTTCTTGCTAGCGCAATTGATAACTTTGACCACATGTCTCCTGAAGATGACGCAAATTCAATTAACAATTCATTTTTGGATCCACAACAAGCTTATACTCCACTTGACGTTTCCGCAAAGATTCAAGCTCAAACTAACAATGCATCTGAAATATTTAACCTAAATACTTCATATTTGCAAGTAAACGAGTTCGACACGTACAAAAGTCTAAAATCCCTTAATCCGGGTAAATCTTTGGGTCCTGACGGCATTTCTCCTTGGATTTACAAAGCCTATGCTGAAATCCTTGCTTACCCAGTTAGTGTAATCATGAATTGTTCCTACAACCAAGGAAAATTGCCCTCAATATGGAAAAGCGCTAATATATCCCCAATTCCAAAAGAAACACAAATAACTAACATTAACAAAACCATCGTCCGATTTCACTAACCTCAATTTTATCGAAGTTAGCAGAAGAATTTATTTTAGAAAGGCATTTAAAATCTGCTATTTTGAAGATCCTGGGCCTCAAACAATTTGGCGTTGTTGTCCGGTCGTCCACTACTGTCGGGCCTTTGTTTCAATGCTGCACCAATGGCTACAAGCTGCTGATCAAACTGGTAACTTGGTTCGCATAGTACTGTTTGATTTTCACAAAGCATTTGATCTGCTTGATCATAATCAATTGATTCGTAAATTGAAATCCCTCAACCTTTCACCTCAAATAGCTAATTGGGTTATCGATTTCCTAATTAATTGGAAGCAAAGGGTTAAATTAAGTAATGGTTGTTTCTCCGACTGGAGTAACGTTCGCTCAGGGATGCCGCAAAGAACAAAGCTCGGCCCGTGGCTGTATATATTAATGACCAACGACTTAACTACACCAACAACAACATCTTGAGAAAGTCTGTGGAAATATGTCGACGACACGACCTTGTCTGAAATAGTTTCTAAAAAAGATCAATGTCGTATCCAGGAATCAGTTGACGCAGTACAAGCGTGGGTAATTTCGAATATGGCTGAATTAAATGAGGAAAAGTGCAAAGAGTTAAGAATCGACCTCTCACGAGGACCAACTGAAAATACCTCCCTCCATCCTATTCTCATAAACCACAAAGAAATCGAAGTTGTTAGTTGTGCAAAAACCTTTGGTCTTACCGTCAGCAATGATTTTAAATATAAAATGTATATCGATAACATTATATCAAAAGCTAGCAAACGCCTACATTTAATAACACAACTAAAAAGAGCGCAAGTTCCTGTCAAAGATTTGATCCAAATATATTGCGCCTGTATTCGTTCGACGCTAGAATATGCTTCACCTGTTTTCCACAACTCCTTCCTGCAGTACCTGAGTTCAGATATCGAAAGGATCCAAAGGCGGTGTCTAAGAATGATATTTCCTGAAAACTCTTATGAAGAGGCGCTCGAATTACCAATTTAGAAACCTTACGAAACAGCATGTAAAAAACTTTTCCTTCAAGCACACTCGGATACCAAGTACAAACGACATCAAATGATTCCAGAGGAAAACGGGTGTACATATTCCTTAAGGAAATATCATAAATTTTTAGTCCCTAAGTTTCGAACAGAACGTTTTAAGAACTCCTTCATTATATTTAATATTAACTTTATTTCGTGTTAATTATAGCCTATAGTTTTTATTGTAAATATAGTTAGTTCTTTGTATGAAATAATTCAATTGTAAATACTCGTAAGCAATTCAGTTATACCAACTGTAATTTACGATTTGACTAAACCTGTTCTACCTAACCTGTTCTATCTATCTATACCTTTAAAGATATCAGAAGTGTCAGTATTAAACAATTAAACGAAGTTTATTAAGTTTTCAAGTATATTACAAAAATACTGCAATAAAGTAGAAAACGAACATTTCTTTTAGCAAACGTACAAAATTGTCCTTCAGTAGCATTATATAAATGTTTTTGGTTCAAGTGAGGCCAAAAGCTACTGTTAAAAGTAAAGTAAAGTTAGGCGGAAATTTATTTTAAAACTATAAAAATATAAAAAGTTTAAAAACGTCTTAGCTTTCGTCGTTGTACATACTTTGTAATTCTAATTCAGGACACAGTATTTATACTTGTTCTCACAAATAACTCACTTTGTCTCTGATGATGTCGTAGACGACGAAAGCTAAGAAGTTTTTAAACTTTTTATATTTTTATAGTTTTAAAATAAAATTTCCGCCTAACGTTACTTTAAAATAACTTTTAACAGTAGTTTTTGGCCTCACTTGAACCAACAACATTTCTTTTAGTGTTTTCAACTTCACTAAAATTTCACACAACTATTAAACACGCTATTGTGGCTTTCTTAGTACTGTCACCGTCTTTATCTGCTAATAATTTTGACAGGTCGTTTTCATCCAACGAAGCAAATCTACTGTGAGCCATTTTGTTTATTTTATTTTGGCCAATCAGGAACGAGAATACATTCTAAATGTATCATAATTGATATTACAATAATCCTTTCCTGAAAGTACGTAACTTTTGCTATAATAAGTATAATTTTTTCCCGTTTTCGCGTATCTGACATCAGTTAAACCCACGTGCCAATCACGAAAACGAGACTCTATCGTCAAGACAACATACCTTCCAAAAGAGTGTATTATGTATTTCCGTGCTGTAGTTCGTAAAGAGAAAGATTAGTCAGGCATAACCATTGAAACAAGCTGGTTGGCTAATTATATCTTATTGCATATATCGAAACAAATTCAGTCGCATCTATTATTTTGCTCAGAACCGTGGATGCAAAAAGTTGGACTTCAAGCACAATATGGAAAATAAAAGTCGAAATTTTTCTAGCTTCAACGAAACAAGGCGAATAGCTGGCATTCTTTGCAACACTTTGGCTATTGTTTCCATATGCAGACAGAAACGTTTGTTGAAGAGTAATGGTTTCTGATAATCTTTGCCGTCCTAATTTTAATAGCTTCTACAGAACGTGAAGCCGGTGAAGGATCGGGATCTTAGGTAGTTCCTTCTCAGTTTGCGTGGCTAATAACACCGTTTTCTTCTTTGCCACTGCAGAAATATGTATGATGTTGATTATTTCGGTTTGTCGACATCGTGCTGCTGTACATCCTTTAAAACCTGCCATCAGTCGACGGAAATTGAGAATCGTTTGTGCTTTAGGGTACATTATTGGGTTGAGTTTAGGGTATAGACTGTTCATGCCTTTATGCCTAGTGAACAAAACTTTGTTTATAAAATTTCGTTATTGCTTTGCATTGTTCGTTGCGTTTCTGTTCCCGACAACATTCATGGCAATAGTTTGTTAGAAACTATTTCGAACACTCGTCAAGCAAAACAAGCACCTCAAACGAGTATTTTCAAATCAAATTAAGCAAAATTAAATATATCATCATGCCTTAAAATTCAACGTCATATTCGAAATCGACGAACCTTTTTGTTTGTGTGAGTACCGTTCTATGCTACGTATTAGGTCGGGTGCCTCTGACTCTTTTTATAATAACATAATTCCTATTTAAGTGTAAAATTCAAAATTTGAATTTAATTCATTTTTATTTGGAGGGGGGGGGGGGCTATACCCCCTAAATCCTTCCGTTCCGTCGCCAATGATCCTATTTAAGTTAGAGCTGTTTTGTAGTACGCGTGCCAGGTCTGGCATTACAATATCCAACAATATTTATGTGAAGATATTGAAAAAAATACAAAAACGTGCGTTGAGAATCATCCTTCCAACGCAAAAGTATGCATGACAAAGCGCTGATCACGACTAACATCACGTCGCTGAGAGATCGCCGAGAAAAATTATGCGAACATTTCTTTGAGAAGAATATTGACAATGAAAATCTCAAAGATCTTTTACCGCAAACAATTTTATCTGAATATGATCTAAAGACCGATATGTAAATATCATAATTATGTTTGTAGAACTGAACGTTTTAAGAATTCGATTTTACCTCAAAGTACCGTATTAAAGATTAACAGTAAATAAGTTTTTAGAAATGTTCAAGTGCTATATTAATTAACAGTTCTAAATTACTGTCGAGAGATCAGGTGTTCATCAATTCAATGTTCATACAGGAGTTGCGGCCACAATTTGAGAGCGAAGTTGAGCTACAATCTAGGCCAAAATTCATGTGGACACCTGTTCCATTTTTGCAAAAATCCAAACAAACAGCTAAAACTTGACTATACAAGCATTACCCCCCCCTTCAATGTTGCATATCCCCATTATATACGTTTGATGTTTTTGATGAAAAATTCGTTTCAACATTGACTTGGGGGAGCGGGAGATATTTATTTAGAGTAATTAGAGAAATGCCATTCGAGGCCAATGTCTGTGGGTTTGTCCACAAAGTGTTGGATTGTAGCTCATCTTAACTGAACACTGGGTAGAACTACTTGCTGATGTGTACTGAATGTTAATGAGGAAAATTGCTAAAATATTTCAAGATAGCCTACATGCAGTCGGCAAATTTCAGGATTTATTGATAAAATTTCGAGATGCAGGAAATGTTAAAGTTCTAAGAAAAACCGGCATTATGTGACTAAAGCAGGCATGATTATATAGATATAACATATAAGTATTTTTAGCTTGACGGGTAGAAAGTTCATATCTTCGGTTCAGTGCATGCTATGAAGACAGAAATACCACCATTCGATTCAAAAACAAAAGATATATTAATTCCTCACGATAGTTATAGTCATTATCAACATTGTAGCGATTTATGGGCCTTTGAATGTCAAACAAGATCATATACTATCAAATTACGCAATTGTCTGAACAAAACTATAGACTAGTCGAAAATAACTTCGGCCCCTTCGAACATATCGTCTTTGTAATAGTCTTGTTCAAATCTCCATCAAAAACATTATTTAGAGTGTTATTTGCAAGCCTGTATCTTCAAATTTGCATCTTTTCTATAAATCCCACAACTGTCCATCTTCTCGAGTTACTTATTGTTCTCAACTATATATAGCCAACTGCAAAGAGACTATATACCGTATATAGTCTCTTTGCAGTTGGCTATATTACCAGAAGAGTTGTTGCTACGTGTGTGATGCAAATATTATGGAAATACCTGTCAAAATATTTGTACTTTATGTCAGCATAGTTATTTGCATGTAAGCACCTTACCTAAGTGTGTGTGTTAAAAAAACGGGGCAAGAAACCGAATTTTAAACACACATCCCTCTGGTAAATATTCTTTG